ACTTTTACACCACTTAACAAAAAGTTAGGACCAGATTATGACTATGGAATTTAATCATGAGTAACATTGACTCTTTTTGATAGTTTCAGCTTCAGATATACTAAGACAAACACCTGAGTAGAATCTACTATGTATCTGGAGGTCAGAATAAAGGTTGAAATGGAGACAGAGTTGGGAACGAATCAATGTCAAGTTGAACCCACATACTTAAATTCCATCTCCCTGAGAAAGTAACTGAAAATGGAGATAAAATGAAAAGCAGGCATCCCTGAAAACAGTCATATACCCGGGGCTCATGTGGAAGAAAACACAGATGAGACAGAGCAGAAAGAAAATTCAAAGAAGCAGAACAGGAAGTGGCACTTGGCTGAGGAGCAGAGGGCTTTTTAACTGTGCTGACTGGTGGACAGATGGCATAGCAGGTGGTACAGCGTGTTTCCTTCTTCGTCCCAGACACTGGTAGCCACGATGGGTTAGTGTGCCAGCTTCCTTCATTCCTATCTGCCTGTTGCATTTAATAAACTATTTGGAAGATGCTAGGTTTCTAAAGGATCTCAACTCCGTGGTAGACTCCATCACACAATGTAGCCTGTGTGAGAGCCATGTTTTAGTCTATTGATTCCTTTGATGTTTTTACTCTCTACAACTCTGCTTGGCTCATTCTTTGTTTCCCAGCTCTTCATATCATTTTCTATCCATGCACACACATAAAAACAACAAAGTTGTTGCTGCTTCTCTTCCCCTTTGAGAAGGAATTTGAAAATATGTAGATAGACACTCGATGTTGTCCCCCATAATACCTTCCTGCACTGAGATGATCTGTGCTTCAGTTCTGGGTGGCTATGAGAACCATTTCAACAGTGTCCTGGTTAAGTCAGCTGTAAGAACAGATGTGGCCTCTTTTGTCCTGCTTTAACTTTGCTTTGCAATTTAAAATGGCCCCTCCTTTTTAAAATTTTATTTATTATTTTTATTTTATGTGTATGTTGTATTGCCTGCATGTAGGTAAGTGCACCTGTGTCGTGCAATGCCGGCAGAGGTCAGAAGAGGCTGTTGGATCCCCTGGGCCTGGAGTTATGGACAATTGTTAGGTGTCATGTGGGTGCTGGGATTCGTACCCAGGTCTTCTGCAAGAACAACCAGTGTTCTTAACCATTGAGCCATCTCTCCAGCTCCCCAAAATGTCCCCTTTCTATTGTTGAGTTCTAGGTATGCTGGTAAGTTTACACTCCAATGTTAAACAGTGTAAACGCTCCATGTCACTGGCAGAGCACAGGTGTCCCATCATTAGCCAGTGTACGGCTACTTTTTCAGCGCGGCATCTTTTCCAGGGCAAACGTTGCCTGTAGCCTGTTTGGCTGACACTTTCTCAAGTCTTTACATTTTTGTGTGTTCTGCCTCTTTTGCCTGAAATGATCTTGCATTTCACCATTAACATCTAGGAGCATAGGCCAAAGACTGCACACGTGTTTATCATTTTCCAACATAACCACTTTTAATTCGGTGGTAGCCTTGAGGTTCAGGTATTACTGCTCCCAATTTGCATATTGTAAATGGGCCTTTGAGAGATAGTTTCCCAAGATCATACAGTTAGGCAGTGTAACCTAGTGATGTGAATACAGGCGTCCTGACCTCAAAGTTCATTTCCTTAACTTATGTGCTTCATTACTTTTTCTTCCTAAAATCTTAGTAAGTTTCACTTTTGTCTTTGATGCTCAGCTTCCTACATTAAGGAATCTTGAGCAATGAGATTGTTATCAATCTTAGAGTGCATTTAATTGTTGATTTACCAGTTTGTCTCCAATAAGACATTATTTACCTCTTAAGAATAAGAATTTGTCACTTAATAACCTTGCAAGCTGGGTTTTACAATGCCAATAGAGAAGACAGGATTTACAACATAAATGTACTGATTAATAACTGGAGTGAGACTGAACGTCAGTCTTGAATCTGATGTTTCTGACTTTAGACCTTTTACCCTCCCCTCCTTCATATTTTAATAAAAGAGCATAAAATGTTATCCTAAGAGTGGAGAAATACCTGTGGGAAAATTTAATATAATCAATACAAAAAAGAATGTAACCCACCTATGGTATTAAAATGATGAAAAAATGTAGTACGAAGTAAATTTTGTAGTTGCTTATGTAGATGCAGTATTATACATTAACCAAATTTAAACCAGGTTATATTAATAAGCTCAAACTAAGAAGGAAAAAAGGAGTGAAAGTAAATAAATACATTTTATATGCTGCTAAATTTAAAATAATTTTTAAATGCTAGCATCCCCCAAATAGGTAAGCCCAATGATTAATAGCTTTCCCTCTTCCACGCAAGTCTTTGATCCAAATAAGTCAACATTAATATGTAACTATGCACAATATATGTATATACTATACAATGTATCAGAAACATTATAAAGAATGTTTGCCAAATATGAATGAAAGCGATATATTTTATTAACTTATTAAGCCTAAGAACATTCTAAAAGTTGTTCCTCATTGTACAATGGCACAGGAAGTCTGTATTGTGTCCTTAGTGTTCAGGAGTAATTAGAATGTCTGGAACTTACTATGATGCAAAAGTTATGTAATGCAGACTTTCAGAATAACTCACACAGTTCAATCTTCTTACGTAGACTATATCCAAGTTATTGCTATTGTGTTTAGAGTGTTACCATGCTACATATTTTCTTCTTTTGTTCACAGTGCTGTCACCTTATCTCCTTTGAATTTACAGTTCCTAAAATAGGGAAGAGAATGTTCTAACATAACATAGTCTGATATAATGTGCCGAGTAGGATGTGGACAGAGTCCCACTTAGCCACTGCTATAGAGGTGCCCATGCACTGGTGTGAGTTTTCACAAAGAAACTAGAATTGATTACATTTTTTTTGTAAGAATTTCATACATGAGTATTGTATTTGAATTATTTCTATCCTTCCCAGATCCCCTTCAATTTCTCCCATGTGCCCCTCAATTTCCTGTCCTCTT